CGAAGGCAACTTTTACTTTATGTAGCGCGGCGCCATGTTTGTTTTGTTTTGAAGCAATCTGTGACCGTTACTTCTTTAAACTAAATTGCTTTAAACTGATTGGTTGATTTAATCATCAGAATGTTTTTCCACCAATCAGATCAGCTTGTTACAGATTTTTGCACTGTGATTACAGAAAATTGCACTGTGATTACAGAAAATTGCACTGTGATTACAAAAAATTGCACTGTGATTACAGAAAATTGCACTACTGTTTGGGATTAACTGCACTGAAATCAACCAATCACAGTCGAGTAATATCTTTATGTATATTATTTCTGTAATTGTACAGCACGTGCAGTATACATATAACTTCATACGACTGGTTCTCTAAGTGGTATAAAAATACAATTTTGACAAGTTCTGAAAGACTAGAAACCTCTCAATAGTTCAAAACGAATGTGTCCGGTATTAAAAAAATAACTTTCGTTCTGGCCAATCAGATGCCTCGTTAATACGGTTCGCCTTTCGGTGCGAGAATGTTATGCTGCCACTACGTTGCGGATGTTCACACCATCACTGTATCTGCATGTGGCTTTATTATTCATGTTTGCCCACATACATCGCTTAACAGTGATGGAGAGATCTTATAGGATCTTTTAGTGTGGCTGCGCCAACACTCTGGAATGCACTTCCTGTAAGCCTTCGGAGTATCACTTCTCTTTCAATTTTTAAATCCTCTCTGAAAACATATCTTTTTAAGCTAGCTTTTAGCCTCCATTAAATGTATATATTTAAGATTATTAATAGTTGTATGTATAATAGAGTGTATTGTAATGCGCTTTTGATCATTGTATGTAAAAAGCGCAATATAAATTATTAAATTATTATTATTATTATTAGTTACCATCTTAGAAAATCGGCAAATTCATTAATAAACAGTCGAGGTTGTCCGTTCTTTTCAAACAAGCAATGCAAGAAAAGTTTCTTCTCCGCAACTTGCCTTTCACATTGTATACCAAATTCTTGCACGAGTTTCTCAATCACTTTCGACTGAATTTCCTCGTAAAGTTCAAGAC